AAATCATGAGTGTAAACTTGCAGGCTTGCCACTTGTGGGAGCATCCGGGCGTTGCTGCCATTATCAAGGTTCTTGACTCCAACTCCCACAAAGCTTGGCAGAAGCCTCACTACTCTGACTTCCCTCCCAGCTGCTATCGGAGCATGGATCCAGCAGGATCCATGCAACCCTCATCACATCTACATTGCAAGAACAACCCCAAAGTGCCACGTCTGAGAGCCTGGGTCAGTCGACTGAGGCTTTCCTGAATGAGTTTCAGAGCCCAAACCTCCCCCAGTGCTATTGCTAGCACCATGAGCCTGAGTCCATTAACCCAGGCCCAGAGACTTGGTGCCATGAGTTTCTCTTTTCAGTGTAGATGTACCCAGTGGGACCCGCCCCTTCAAGTCCTCTTCCGAGAAGAATGTCACATTATAAAGAGGAAACCAGGGCCATCTGATGCTGAGAGGGCAATGCTTTCGGACACGAGGCTTCCAATGGGACTGGATGATGGCTCTGAATTTTCCTACAGCACCCTATAGCATTTTAACCAACATAATATACTTTTCCCATTGTTTTCATTCTCTGGGCCAAACTTTCTGGGCCAGTTAAGGGCTGTGGAAGGCCCAGAATGCAGTGTAACCAATGAGCTATGGGGTAGGGTATAGGGAGCCTACACAATCCAGTCACAGCCTGCATCCCTCCTCCATGGGGATCCTTTCACCCTAATTCCCAGGCATTATTTTCGGGAGGGGGGGGAGGGAAGAGAAGAGACTGCACAGGGTGTGGCCGATAAATGGACAATTGATTTTTCAAAGCTGCTGCTGGACTCCTCTCATGTGACAGAAATATTGACCATCAAAACTCTGAGCCACATCCCCTGTTTCGGGTCAGCACAGAAAGCCTGGCCCGTTGCTAGCTTTTGCATGTCTTATGCTTCTCACAGGAGTCACCAGGCAGCAGACATATCCAGGCAGGCACACCCAGGGCTATATTTCAGTAACGCTAGATCAACGTAATGCTGAAAAACCTTAGGGGTGAATCAGATATGTGCTAGATCAACGTAATGCTGAAAAACCTCAGGGGTGAATCAGATATGTTGTGTCCAAGGGTGCGTCTACACTGCACTGTTATTCTGGAAAAACCAATACTACACTGCAATTGCACTGCAATTGCGTTATTTCGAAAGAAAATCGAAATAACGGAGGGCTTTTTCTAATGTTGGTAAACCTCATTCCACGAGGAATAATAATGCCTCTTCTGAAAAAGTTCTTTTGGAAGAAGGTGTGTGGATGCTCCACTGCTGCTATGTCAAAATAGCTCCTCCCCAGTGCCTCCCGGGGCTCTAAATCAAGAGAGAGCATCCACACTACAGGCAAGTGGACATTCTATTTTGATATAAGCTAGTCCGAAAGATATCTTCCGGAATAGCTTTTTCCAAAATAAGCTTGCAGTGTAGATGTACCCAAAGGTACAGGGCTGCCAGAGAGACCCCCTGATTTCTAACACAGATGGGATGTACCCAAAGGTACAGGGCTGCCAGAGAGGCCTCCTGATTTCTAACACAGATGGTTTTTTTTTTCTGGATATAAACTTTGCTCTGTTGTCTCGGCAGTTGCATTAATGCAGAAAACTTAATATCATATTTAATAACCAGTGGAGATAAGGCTGCCATTGTTCCTCCTCTAAACATTCATGTTGGTTTAAAACCAAATGCGCTGCAGCTTTTTTTTTAAGAAGTATTCTTTCTACTGTGCATATTTTGAGTGCAGATGAATGTCAATTACAAGAATCTCATAGAACTGAAATGCCTTCAAGAATCTCTACATAGAATGCTTTGAGTCTGGCTTATTCTGTTTCCTTTGGGTAACTTGGATTTATGCTTGTTTGGTGTAATGAATATTAATATTAAATGAACTCATTATGATCAGTGTTATTACTGTGAATGCCAAATAAATGGATACAGCTCCGGCCGTTTATGCTCATTGTTACTGGGAAATTAAATTTGATGTGAAAATCTCCGCGCTGCTTCGTTAAGGCAAAACACAGAGCCAAATGCCGCGGAGCCTTCAAGTCATTCCTGGAGATGAGGCGCCTGAAAAATACTTTTACGCACCATCTCGCCTTGCCCTTACAATGATTGCATTTGTCATTTGCAAAATGAGGCATGCATAGTGCGCGGGGCTAATGTGCATACTGCACAGAATGCCTTGGGTGCAGGGTGCCACCGCACAAGTCTAGCGGAATGAAAGCAAGGAAACGCTGAGGTCCCCCCCCCTTTTTTTTAAGACATTGAACTGTTGTAGGAGCACTTCTTTGCAAAGGAAAGGTATGAAGTTTCTGCTATACGGGTCTAAATCTCTGCAAGGTGACATTGCATTTATCTATAGCCCCATTCATGGGTGCCTAAGACAGCTACAGAAAACTGTTTAATATGCAGTAGTGACATAGAGCTGCATCCTGTAGGAAAGAGGAAACCTCAGTGGGGGTCGATTTGATCCCCAACAAAAATTCTCAGCTCCTATTGGCTGGACACTGAGAGATTGGCCAATGGGAGCTAAGATTTTGCTGGGGGGCGGGAATAGCACGAGAAGTCTCCCTCCTCCCTTCCCAGCCATCCAGAATGGAGAACAGTTGGCTCTTTAAAGGGTGAGCTGTTCTCTGCCTGAGGGTTCTGGTGAGAAGGCTGTGAGCCGGACCTCATGGCTTGGTGAGCTGGATCCGGCTTGCGGGCAGCCTCTTGGCCACCCTTGATTTAGTGTGATCCCTTGCATAACACAGGCTAGAGAATCTCACCTTTAATTCTACATTAAGCCCAGCACTAGTGTTTGCACTAGAATACATCATAGAGTCAAGACTGGATACCTTTTTAACGATTGCAAGTGTTGGAGCATTCACCACCACCCAGTACTTAATCTTTCACTGCTTTTGGCCCTATTTCTAGTCTGAATTTGTGTAGCTTTTAACTTCCAACTATTGGAGCTCGTTTGGCCTTTTCTTGCTAGATTAACCAGGTGCCCACTATCCAAAATCTCTTCTTCTCAGGGGGCAGGATTGCTGAACAAAATGGTGCCACATAATTAACCAGGTGCCCACTATCCAAAATCTCTTCTGCTCAGAGGGCAGGATTGCTGAACAAAATGGCGCCACATGAGATTATATACACCTTATTCACAGCAGAATTTTATTTAACGCTGCCTTTTTATCCTCATTGGTTCCTGCCATACACTGCCCTCTGTATTTATTTAGCATCTTAGTCATCATAAAGCAACCAGAATGGTCTCTATTTTCCCCAAATGCGACTTCTTTATTAATCCAATTTCCTCCGCAAGACAGGAGCTCTCTGATTCATGTAAGGCTTAATGCTTTTATTTATACTACCAAGAACTTAGTTTTTTAACTTTGCATCCAGTTTTGTTAATTTCTTCTCGTAAGTTTTGGCAATCACAACATATCTTGCCACTAGTTTGTGTCATTGCCTTATTCATTCAAGTGCTATAATTCCTTTCCAATACCATAACAGATGAGCTCGTAGATTAATAAAATACTGTATCAAAGGCAGTCTTAAAGTTCAGGAAAATTATATTGACAGTGTTCCTCTGTTAGCTGTCTTGCTTCTTCAAAACACTTTGTTAGGAATAATCATTTCCTTTACTAATCCATCCTGAATGTCTTTCATTAAATGATAATGTTCCAGATATTTCTCTACTCTATCATTGTCCTTAATTTGTGGGTTTAGTATTTGGTACAAAGTCAAATCTATAGATCAGTTGTGTAATCAAGAACCTGCTTTTGGATATTACCAGTTAGTTTTGGTACCATTTCTTGCTTTTTAAATATATTTTTTTAATTCTATGTCCTCTACTCTTTCTGCTTTGCATCTCCCTTAAGAAGTTTTGGATGGATTTTAGAGTTTAATCAATTTTTTTTGTAAGGCTAGTTTGAAACAGTTTTAGCTCCTTGTCCCTGGGAAATGTCTAATACCATGCGCCTATTTCTAACCCCTGTGTTGGAAATCCAACATAACAAGGTAGTTTTTGTGCTTAATACCCAGAAAG